GACAGAGGATGTAAGGACTCGGGGGCAAGGAAAAAGAACGAATACAAAGGAAAGACGGAGAGGTATAACGTGTCGCGAAGACATCATGAATTGGAGGGAGTGTGGACAACCATAGATGTTGGGAACTGAGAGGGAAAAGTATCCTTTTGAGAGGCTGAAGAGTCAGCGCGGAAAGGAAATTCACACGCATACTTGGGCTGGCAGACGTTCGAACTGCGGTGAGCATCTGACAGCAGTCGTGTATGCAGCCCTGCGCAAATCCATAGAGGCACGCGGTTGTGGTGTTTGTACACAATTGTTTCTGGCCCCCCTTGTCTGTGCCTTGGGGCTGAAGCTGAGACCCAACCGTGTGCACCACGGAATGTGGCGAGTGACGGAGAGGGAATGCGAATGAAATCATGCTTCGGTCGCCCCAAGGGGTGAGGGTATTAATGGTAGTACTAGGAGATACACTTTTATTTCCGGCGGCTCTCATCAATGCGCACGTACTGGGAGGAGGAATTCAGGGGTTAATGCACACCGAAATCATGGTAGGGATCAAAAGGGATCAAAAGGAGGTTGCTGCACGATGAATGATGGGCGCAGAGTGAAGACTGAGGATGATGGAGCTGTACCTGAATCCTGTGTGACTTCGGCTGAGCTGCCCTTCATCATTCAGCCGCCGTCGCTGCTCAGCTGCGATTCGTCCAGCTTCTCTTCCCAGATCCTGGTCTTCGTCGTTTCTCTCTTCACCTTTCGCATCACTATTTGAATCCAATATTCAATCTTCGGCTCACTTCACAAGGCTTGGTATCCGCCGACATATCTCGTATTCACTCACCGTTACCTTGTCCAAGGCGGTCGCAACGCACCTTCCTCGCTCGACGTCGCCCGTGTCTGTACGAGCAGACAATCCCCGTCAGGCGCTTGTCAATACTTCTGTCAAAGGCCTCGACTGCTCCTCGGCGGCAGATCTAGCCCAAGACGCTGTATCTTCGAACCAGAGGCTCTCATCCACATAGTAATCTACCGGCGGTCGGTCTATAGCGCCTACCGATCGATGTGGGAGCCAATTGACTGAATGATTCCTCCTAACCGCAACGGCAGACAGTCTTGAACTCCTGCGCACCAGCAGCTGCGGACCTGTCGCACTTCGCGTCACGCACCCAGCCATTCGTCACGCCTCACGAATCCTTCAAAGCTCCGAGGTCCCCCTGTCTTCACTCTCAAAACGTCCTCCTGAATATCCGAACCGCCTCCCCATGCCCTGAGGTGCAACCGCAGATTTCGCTCTGCCCCCGTGGCCATATGTCGCAATGAAAAGGTGGAACCATTGAGACTCTTTCAATGCTATAAATCCGTTCTCGGATGGGGAGGACCATCGAATACACCATTATGGGGCCGGCCAGAGATGCCCCGGGTCAATCTCCTCCTTCAGCCTCCAGCTCGCTACCCTTTCGCAATGGATCCAGAGCCGGCTCGACCAACCTCAGAACCCTTTACCGCATCTCAGCGCAGGATGTTGCTGACCACCAGCCGGAAGAACACTCTTACCACTCTGTGTCTACGGTCTTACCTACCTCACCAAACCTCCCTCCTACACCCCCTGGCGCAAATAATGAAACCAGCCCATCGGCACCAGAAGAGGCGGCTTCATCTTCAGATGCTGCTGTGTTTAGATCCAGCTTGGTGACGCCCATAAACCAGAACAGCCCGCCGACCCCTGACAACACTCCTCCTCGGGAACGTTACGGGGCACTTCCCCGGCGCCCATTGCTAGACCCACAACCATCCATAGCCTCAACGCATGCAGAATCCTTCAAGACCGCTAATGAAGACTTCACGTCAGAAGGAGAATCTGATCCTTATACGCCACGCCCGGATAATGGCTTCAAATGGCCATTGAGTTCCATTGACAGGTTTGGAGCAGCTTCCCATCGTCTGCGACACAGCTCTTTGCCTAGATCACCTCTGGCCGAGCTTTACGGAGTACACACTGCTGTCAGTCAGTCTCCAGAACCTTTAGTCGATCATTCGCATGTGAATCCCAGTAAGACCCATGGGGTGCCAGAGGCGTACCCTCAGAATCAGACATCGGGATTGAGTGGCGACGCACTTTTCGACAACGAGGAAATCCGCACACATCTTGACCCCCCTCAATTGTCTCTAGCTGAGGAAACCGAATCAACTCATCTTGTTCGGCACAGCACTGTCCAGTCCGATTTGAAACGGGGCAAGAGTTTACGCGAAAGGCTTTTGGAGGCGCAGAGCCAGGATCCATCGGCATCGACTGAGAAGTTTGCAAACATCATCGGGTGGAACAATTCCGTGCCAATCGATGATGAAGTAGCCAGAGATCGACAAGTGGAAGTCGATGACAATCGACGTTTTTCGGGTATCTCTACAACTTCGACTGTGGAAGCATACGTCTTCGAACAAAACTCTTTGCCGCGACGAAAAACGACGTTGCGCCATGTCAGCAAGCACCAATCCCTTCGTTCTGTAAGCTCACCCTTGCCAGCGTCGAACAGGAACTCTATGAATTCCGCTTCAGACTCACCTCATCGTCTTGTTCACAAAAAGGCGAGACTGAGCAATCAAAATCGCTGGAGTTTTGGATCTGAAGTATCGAGATCTTACAGCCTGGCATCAAGCGCGGTGCTCCCCAAGACTGAAGTGATTCGCGTGGCAGTGATTCCGGAGAGAAGCTCCTCCTTGAGTTCATCTGCTCACACCAGTCAGCGGCAATCGCTTTCGAACAGTTCTGGACCTTCTCAATTTCGCAAGACGTCCGACAACCCACCCTCTTCCTGGCAACACAAAAGGGCGTTTTCTGAGTCTTCTGACCGTGGTAGGGAACAACACCAAGCCCCTCTGATACCTCCTCGTAGCTCCTCACTGTCAGCACCTACATCCAGAAGCACGTCACGAGCCAACTCTATCACTTCAGAGCATCTGCACGTACGCAGACAACAAGCCGAGAAGGACTTACGCAAGACCTTGGACAGGATGGAATCGGAACGACTTGTCAATAGCCTGAGAGACTGGGAGGTTATAGATGGAAATCAGCGACTCGACAGATCTTCGGGGACTTCTAAGCCGCAATCCTCCACGCTTCCGAGCAATCTGAAAGGTGTTTCTGCTGGCGAAGGTGAGGCAATATCAAACCCGCTAGGTTTGGTGATGCCCGGAACAAAGGAATGGGCGGCACTCCGACCACCATCTATCTTCGACACACCCTTCTCACAACCTTCTTTCCAGTCAGGATCTCCTGAGATCAATGAAGCGCGGGCGATCAACTACTTCCCCCACAATAACTATTCTGTGCAGCTCATTGAACCGTTTCCTGTAGCGGAGTCAAAAGCGGTCCAGGAGGTACAGAAGCAAAAACTTCCAGAAATCGAAGTAGAGTCACCGTTGCGCAACCCTCGACAGCCGCCTGAGCCACCACAATTCAAGCTGATTCCACCCACTCCTGCTGATGAGGAAGTCAAGAAGCAGTTGGGGGAAGACAGAATCGATACTGTTCAACGGCCTGGCGGTTCTCGACGACGGTCCGAATCATTGATGAGCTCCATTTCACGCAATTTGAGCCTTAAAAACGCGCGCAATCGCAAGGCTGATCAGGATCTCGATGGAAGCCTGCATCCATTCTGGCGGCCTCGCGCCTTTTGGGACGACGTCGATAATGCTCGCCCTGAATCGCAACCTCAGGAACGGTCTCTGGATCGTGAAATCGTGAACAATTCTCTTGGATTGCCTCAGGAGAGGACGGTCATAATGGGTCCAGTATCCCTGATCCGACGAATATCGCAGCGACGCAAGCAGAAGAGAGGGATTGTGAAACAATCCAGCCATTCCAGTCTCGCTAGGTTGCAAGCGAGCCGTAAACTACACAAGTTGTCTGGCTCGGCACTGCGGTTGCATATCTCCTTGGTAGGGATTAAAAATATTCAAGAAAGGCTGTTGAATGCCAAACAACGTAAAGAGGACGAGAAGAGAGAACGGCGACGGGCCGACCTTCGACGCAGCATTGGAGCTTACGTGATTTCACAAGGAGACTCGAGATTCCCAGCCAGCAATACGAGCCTTTCCCGAGATGTCTGAGATGTTTTCCAAACAGAATGCTGTTCTCACACCGTCGGCAGTGGAGCTGGTTTTCCTGCGTCTGGATCGTGTTGATGGACAAGTATGTGGTCGTCATTTCATGTTTGCACGATATCATGTTCGACTGTGCTATTTGGGCCCTGGTGGCTATGAATTTCCTTTTCGTTTGGGCGTTTTGGGAGGATGTTTCCGCTGCGTGTTGATTTCTTGCTCGGTCAGAGACACTGAAGATTTATGGCACGAACTTGATGTCTTGACGACTGATGATTGGGATGAATTGACGAGCTGTACAACTAGAAAGCACGGCCGAACCAGATGGATGACGATTTAGCAATTGATTTCTGTATGATTCATCTCGCCGTCGTATTGTGCCCAACACCAACACCCTTCGTCTCGTTCTCCATCTGCTGCTTCTTCCTGAGATTCTCAAGCACAACTGAATCAAGGAATGGTTCAGAGGTTATGCTGGAGTCGAAAACGGTTACTGTGAGCCGTCTTGTTAGCCATACATCATTCGCTGATTAAATGACTCATAAGATCCATACCGCGCTGGTCTTGGGTCTGTGGTTGGGCGAAGTAGATGGTCGTTCTGGAAGCCGGCACTTTAGGACATTGCTGTGATTTCTCCAATGAACCCTTTAACAGCTCTCTCTTCTTCTCATCACCCGCCATTGGACTTCTGGGGCGATTCTCTCCTCTCAGATTGTGATGAAAGGGTGCTGATGGTGTTTTCGGCACGGAAGATCTGGGAATGGTGGCCAATAATAGTCGTCCACCCGCCTCCTTTCCATGATTATTGCAATTTGCCTGCGCCTCCAACTCTAAAACTATCTGCGCAGCTGCGTGCCAACCGCTACGGCTCACCCAGACATCCATCTTATCTTATCTCTTAGCAAAGTTGATTGCGATATCGGATGGCGACCGCAGCGTGGACAATACCAATCCAAACCCTCATCGGCCTGGAAATTGGCGACGATTTCAACCTGGCTTCTACATCTGCCGCGAGCCCGGGCGATGGCCCTGGTACGGCCTATACCAGTCCGACTCAGAGCCACAAGAGAAATGCCTCCATTGCAGGCTTCGACAGCTCCCCCGCGAGCCTTGAGTCACCAGATCACAATGGTGATGAACACATGCGTGATGGCAGGCGGAGGCCGGTGAAAAGAGCTTGCAATGAGTGTCGGCAGCAGAAGGTGAGCCTTGATGCAATGGATTGCGTGCGCGCTACGAAGGGTTGTCGCAGGACACCACCTCATGCCTGAAGTGGTGCGACCGACTTTTCCGCTGCCCCTCGTGGACTGTGCGTCGAATCACTGTGGTGGTTGTGCCGAGCCCTCACGATCTCTTCTCCAGTCCATGTGGCTTCTGTGCTAACAGTGTTTCTCTGCAGCTGCGATGCGATGTCGTTCAGGAACCTTTCCAGACGTGTACCCGTTGTAAGCGACTCAATCTCGACTGCAAAATCGAGGACAATTTCAAGAGGATTGGCAAGAGATCACGAAATGCAGAAATGGAACGCGAGATCATCGAGCTGCGCAAGCAGGTGGCTGCACAAAAGCATACCGCAGGTGTGGCAAACGGTTCGCACACAAATGGAGGTGCCAATCTGCAGGTATCACCCTCAGCAGACGGGACCTTCACTTCAGATGCTGCCGCCGCAGGGTTACTTGACTTGAGAGGTGGTGGTTCAGGCAGACCCATCTTCACACGGTTGGAAGAGGTGTCCCTGACCATCGACCGGGCGCAGGAGCTCTTTCAACGTTTCTTCACGTTTCATCACCCTTTTCTTCCCTTTCTCAACCCCGATAGAACCCCCGAAGAATACTACGCTCGATCACCTTTGCTGTTTTGGACAATTATTTCAGTGGGTGCTCGGCACTACACCCCAGAGCCAGACCTTTATGGCTCCCTGACTGGACCGGTGATGCGGCTTGTCTGGTCGTTTATCGCAGATGTACCTCAAAACTATCATATTGTTAAGGCCCTCATCTTACTCTGTGCTTGGCCTCTGCCCACCAGCAGCACCTCGACAGACCCAACCTTCATGCTCTGTGGAATGATGATGCAGATTGCCTTACAAATCGGTCTACATCGTCCAACGCATGCTCAAGACTTCTCCAAATTTCGGGTGGAACTTCGAGAAGTGGAACTACAAGATCGAGTGGTGGTTTGGAGTGTGTGCAACATTGTCGCTCAGAGAATATGTACGGCATATGGGCAGCCACCTCTCAGTATTTACGATTGGACTCTTGGACCTAAACCGATTGAGACCAACCCAAACTACGAACTGCCAGCTCCCATCTTCAATCGGTTGCTGATCGAAAAATTTGTGGACAAGGTCTCCAGGACGCTTTACATGAATCCCCACGATCCCGTTGGGCTTGCCACTGATACGGAGCGCCCTACCTACGTTTCGTTTCTCGCACATGAGCTGGAGGAACTTGAGGACAGGTTACGGAAGGATACGTCACCAATAACCAAGGTATACCTCAAGGCAGCCGCTCTGCATATGAGATTGAGTGCCTTTTTCTCACCGTCCTCGCTGCCTTCATACCGGACCGACATGTTAAAGCTATACTATGCCACGACTGACTTCCTTGAGACGTGTCTCAGCCTAGAGTCCAACGTCAGTGTGAACCTACCTTCAAGCTACTCACACGGCTTATCGCTGTCGCATGCAACGAACTACATATTCCACATGATGCTCGGCGCTGGCTTTTCCCTTCTCAAACTCATGCACAACTTTCTGGGCGAACACGAACTCGATACCAAAGGAGCATCTGAACTCCTCTCGAGAACGGTGTGGGCGCTACGAAATATGAGTGTGGTGGAGAACGATCTTGCAGAGCGCCTGTCGGAGGTTTTGGCCCAAGTCTGGAAAAGTGGAAGAGTTCGCGCAGAGCCGAATCGCAACAACATTGGCGAGGGCGGCCCCGATGACAGTCTGCAACTCAAGGTCAAGTGTCGAATGTCCATGTCTGTGGTGTTTGATTCGGTGTGGCAGTGGCGGCAAAACTTTCATTTCCGAGGGGGAAAACCTTCTGATAGTACGGGTAACCCTAGTTCATTCGAGGGTGATGCTGACCGAGCGGCAGTGAGGCAGCGAAATCCCACCCTCGAGCAACCCGACAATCAGATCATCATACCGGCATCAAGTTTGGACTCGAAGCCTACGGTAAACGACCCCATGTTGGCGAACTCCACCATTGTGCCTGGTATGGCTGGGATGGCTACTGGAATGGTCGACGACGCCGGGATGGACTTTGGCGAGGCAAGCTACGATGTCTTTGATCCGTTAAACTGGATGCTGGACGGTATAGTGGATTTTCCCTATAATTTCAACAGCGTGCAGGGGAGTGATCTGACGGGCGGGGATGCACTTGGGGGAGGATTGTAATATTCGACGATTGGGGGCGCTGATTGGTCCTTGCGGTCATTGTCGAATGGGGGGTTTGACGTCTTCTATTTTTGACATAGATATCCCAGATGATTTACGCAAAATTGATTGTCTAATCTGAAATTAGAGTCCAGAGTGCTATACAGGTTGACAGAGGTAGGCGTGAAACACTACACGGAAGTTACCATTATTGTACGAAGTACGGAGTACAGGAGCGTTATTGTACTCGTACACGACGTTGTGCGGATTGATCTATTGGATCTCTACTGCCACATGGCCGCTCCCTTCACCTTAGCCTTACAATTTCACCCTGGTTTCGTCCCCTTCTTGACACTGCTAGGGCTTCTGCGCCTGAATTTACGTCAACTTCACGGGCCACCATCACCAGCGCCACGAGCCGACGATTCAGCTAGCACAGAAGAAAGATCAGAGAAGCAGTCGATGCGCTCTGGACTCAGATCAGCCCGGCCTCCGGCGACCAGCCTGACCAATATGCATTGCTGAGGGACAGTTCATTGGCCAGAGACAAGAGCAGCCACAGTTGCTTATCTCTGTCTCCAAGCAACGGGCCAAGCGTCAAGCTGCACGCTTATTGCCCTCTTTCCAGAAGCAGCGAAGCTGCCCTCGATCTACCCCTTCAAACTTCCCCACGCACCGTGAGGTCCTCGATATGGACAATACAGCCGGTGGCCCCAAGGTGAAGGCGATCTCCGGTCTTCCACGCGAGTCAGAGAACGGCTCTGAGCGCGGGAAACGTCTCCTCTATTTCTTGACAGGCATTGAAAAGAGCAGGGATGCAGAAGAACAAATTCAGAGGTAGCTCAGCTGGTTTCGTGAATGACTTGGCGGACATATTGTCAGACCGATCCATGCCCACACCCGCAGGCCATCGGGCTCGACCGCATTGGTCGAAGTAGACCCCATGTCGGTGCGAGGGCGGACAGCTCCAGAGTCCAAGGCTCTTATCTCGAAGATCGCACAACACAGTGGGGCACCAAAGATGGAAGGATGTTGATGGTGTCCCCGACGCCCAGAGTGACGGCGCCCTCCATCTGAACCAGTTGTGGCAACTGCCGATATGAAATGCTATATTACTTCACGTTCCTCTGGCCTTCTTCAGGCTCAGATGCTTCGAATCTCCCTGCTTCGTCTTGCCGGCCCTTAAGCTTCTTTGTCTTCGCTTCTTCTACGGGCTTACGTCTTGTCCACAAGCGATCCGCGGGAGTTTGGCTCTAGCACAATGGCTTCCTACGAAAAGAACGGCTACGATGTCGAATACCAATATCCTGTCTCCACGGGCGAGAAACACCACTCGGTCGTGCCTCCAGATACCTCAGGCGCCGTCCATGGGGAGTCATTCGTCGTTGGTGATTCCACCTATGCAAAACTACAACGTCTTGCAGGACGGTTCCATATTGAACAGCGAGGTATTGAAAGAGTCCCTGAGGATGAACGGACGGACAAGAGTACATTTAAGGTCGGCACCATGGTATGTCTAGCTGTCCCCCCTGCTCCCCGAAACTTTGTTTGTCACAGAGCCTTGTACCTGACGTGAAAATAGTGGCTCGCTGCCAACATGGTCGTCTCTTCCTTCGCCATTGGTGTCCTTGCTGTGCCCGTTTTCGCACTGGGCTTTGTCGACTCGGTGCTTACAATTTTCTTCATCAACTTGCTGGGTATTATCCCAGTATGCTTTTTCTCCACCTTTGGCCCTCGATTCGGTATGCGCCAGATGATCCTCGGGCGATTCTGGTTCGGGTATTACGGCGTCAAGATTATTTCGATCTTCAATTGTTTGGCATGTCTTGGTTGGTCTTCTGTCAATGTCATAGTAGGCGCCCAGTTCCTCCGAGCAGTCAACGACGACGTACCCGCCGCAGCTGCCATTATCGTTTTGGCCGCAGGAACCTTTATCATCACCTTGTTCGGCTACAAGATCGTGCACATCTACGAGATGGTGTCCTGGATACCTTCCTTCATTATTCTCCTCATCACGTTGGGCGTGTTTGCCCATCGGGGAGACTTTGTCAACATTCCAATGGGTAGTGGCGAAGGCGAAGCAGGCTCGGTCTTGTCCTTTGCTGCTTCGATTTTCGGATTTGCCACGGGCTGGGCTTCCTACGCCAGCGATTACACATGCTATCAACCTGTCAGCACTCCACGGACCAAGGTCTTCTTCTATGTATTCTGTGGACTTATGTTCCCTTTGTGTTTCACTCAGATGCTGGGCGTGGCCATTGCGACGGCCATCCCCTCCCACCAGGCGTATTCGGACGCTTACGACAAGAATGCCGTTGGAGGTCTTCTTCACGAAGTGCTTGTTCCGCGCCTAGGTGGCTTCGGGAGCTTCTGTCTTGTCGTTCTGGCTCTGTCAACAATCGCCAACAACGCACCCAATATCTACTCCCTCACTTTCTCTCTGCAAAACCTTACACACTATGCGCAGAGAGTTCCGCGATTCTGTTGGACGCTTGTTGGAACTGTCGTCTACTGCGCCATTGCAATTCCGGGCTTTGACCACTTCGAGTCGGTGCTGGAGAACTTCATGCTGGTGATTGGCTACTGGCTCGCCATCTACGAAGGTATCGCCTTGCCCGAACACTTCATCTACAAGCGTGGGTTTTCTGGATATATCCCAGAGAATTACGACCAGCCGAAGAAGCTGCCTCCCAGCATCGCTGCTTTGAGTGCGTTCCTTTTCGGTGTGCTGGGAGCCGCAATGGGAATGGCGCAAGTGTGGTACATTGGTCCCATCGGTAAGCTGATCGGGATCGGGTATGGTGGTGATATTGGATTTGAGCTGGCATTCTCCTTCACTGCCGTCACGTATGTGCCGCTCAGATGGTTGGAGAGGAGATACTTTCACCGGTGAGACATTGACCTGGATGACCAAGCAAAGGAAAGAGTATTTTGGACCTGGATGGTCAAATGGGATAGAAATCCGAATGTGAGAAGGTTAGAAGGGAAGCAAGCGGAGCGAAAAGCATTTCATTAGTTATTGACATGACATGACATTCACTAAGCCTAACATGGTCTAGCCTCGTAGCTTCTCCCAACTCGTCTTGTCTCTCGATCTTTTCGTGACGAGGCTGACATTTGCACATTCTCACATTCTCACAATCCCACATTCCGAACAGTGCCATGATGGTACGAGGTACGGTTATTGCTCCAAGCTCCGTGAGTCTCATTGTTCCATGGTTCAATCAGATAGTCACATATATTAACAGCCATCCTACTATTGTCTATGGAGGTCCACCCACAGGGAGACGGGAAGTCTAGATAACTGACGACTAATATCTGCCAATCATCGTTTATTGAGCCCCGGTTATGCAGACGAGCAAGGCTACAACCTCTTCAAGACCTACTACTCCTTGACTTCAATGTGCTCGCGCTCAATGATCTCGACGGCGCCCTTCTTGTGGTCGCTTCCCACGGCGTCCTCGTCGCCGGCATTGATCTCCTGCTTCTGCAAGATGTCGTTCTTGACGGCGTTCTTGCCGTCGAAGATGACGCTGACTTCCTCGAGCGTGATCTTGGAGGTCTCGGGGTACGTGAAGTACACGACGACGATGGTGATGATGATGATGATATTGATGACGAGGTAGTATTTCCAGCCAATGTTCTTCAGCGCGACGGGGTTCTAGGTGAAGCAAAAATGTGAGCAGAATCTTGGGGAGTGGAGAAAGAAATTCAAAATCTTACCAAGTAATTGAAGCCGGTGATGGTCGCTTGAACGAGCAGGTTCTGCGTGCAGATGAGCTTCGGCCGGATGTCGTAGCTCATGACCTCGACCGTGTATCCGGTCAAAATGCCGTTCCAGGTCGTGGCGTAAAAGGCATTGAAGACAAAGATGAATGCGATCACCGCGGGGCCGGCGTTCTTGACCCCATCCTGGACGTACAAAGCGCTGCAGATAGTCCACGGTAAGAATCCGCAAAACAGCATGCCAAAGAGGGAAGTCAACAGCATGGACCGGCGACCAAACTTGTCAATCACGTATGCGCCCCAGAATGCCCATCCCATGTTCCTGCGAGTCATGTCAGTTGCTCAATCACTACCAAAAATCCCAGAAACCCGACACTTACCACATCGTGAGGCACCCGTTGATGATCGACTGGTGGCGGGGATTGGTAATGCCGACTCCTGTCAGGATCAAGACGAGGTAATAGCCAATGATGGTCTGGCCAGTGGCTTGGCTTAGAATCGAGCAGGTCACAACTATCCAGGTACGGTGGCGATTGCCCGGCGTGCGGACTAGGTCGAGCCAGCTTCTGCTACCGTTCTCCTTCTCGAAGGCCAGCGTCTGCACGATCTCATTGTACTCAAAGGTAGCGAGTGGATCGGCCTCATTGCCACCGCAGTGCCAGTCGACCAGAGTCTTGAATGCTTCTTCGTTTCGACCTCGTGAGCAGAGCCAGCGCGGACTCTCAGGTACCCACCAGGTAAGGGTGACGGAGATCAGAGACGGGAACATCTGAATCAATGAGACACTGCGCCAGCTCCAGTCACTCTGAATGGACAGGGTTCCGAGCGTGATCCAAGCTGCAATGGCGGCACCTAGAGAATCAATGTCAGCAACGTGCTAGAACCTCCATCCACGAGATCCTCACCGAAGTAATACAGAGTATTGAGTAGCGTGGACAACTGAGCACGGTGGGTTGGGTGCGCAAGCTCCGAGACGAGCATGGGAGCGGCCGTGTATTCGAAACTGAGTCCTAGACCGATGACACAGCGCGCGACTGCGAACATGGCGATCCCTCGCGCGAACGACTGTAGAAAGACGCCTACGATGATGATTACCGCTCCAGATATGATGATCAGTTTGCGACCGATCTTCTCGACGAGCCACCAAAGAAAGAACTGCGAAATGACACCGCCGAGACCTTGAGTACCGTTGAAGATACCAAGCTGGGCGCCTGTCGGGTGGTTGAAATAGGATTGCTGTCCTCACATAGTCAGTGATTGCAAACATGAAGTTGGGCAGGTGTCGCATGATCACC